CACGTTCACTTTATAAATTTTAAAATTTAATTGTTTTTTTTAATTAATTGTCCAATGAATGTTCACAATTACTATGTAATCTCAAATGTATTCACAGGTACCAATCGTACCATTGTATATAATTTCATGTTTATATTTCTTTGTATTGTAAACTTTTTTTTTTTAGTTTTTAATAAATGCCGAGGCAGGCGTTCATGAGCCCGTACTTCCTTCCTTTCAAACTATCTTTGCTATCTTACTATTTTCACCACTTCTTACTTGACAACTTTTCTACTCCCTTCATTCACTTCACAACTTAGGGCTAAGTCTTATGTGAAAGAAGGACAGCCCTCTAATACTTTTGAAAGAAGCTCTAGCTTTATCACCACTGGGCAGAGCTGTTGGCCTGTCTTATGTGTCTTTGAGAAGGCTTTGCTGTTTTACTTATTTTACTTATTTGTAATTTAAGTGGTCTGGCTTCATACATTTCAAATGTTTATTCTAGAATCTTTTTCAAATTATTGTTCTCTTCAATATTAACTTACTTTTTGTGTTTTACTTGAGGAAGGTCTGTTAAATATGACCGAAAATGTTAAAATAATTAAAGTTTTTGCTGCAATCTATGGTTTCTCTGTGGTTTACGACCATTAGTTTTTTGTTTGCCTAGTACCTGACACAAAACTATCAGGTGATGGTATATCATAGTAAATTTAGCAATTCTTGTGCAAATCAAATATGTTTGTATACATTAGTCAAAAATGAAGGAATATATATTTTTTTAATAATTCAAATTTTTATATCAAGAGCTGAGAGACTACACTTAAATTTAATGTTAAAAAATTAATAATTTTACCATATGTTAGAATGTAATATCAATTTGTTTACATTAATATCTAATTATTTCTGCAATAATTTTCTTTACAACATACATACATATCAAATGCATTGTTTTAATTAAATTTTAATATATGTAGCAATGAATGACAATTTTGTTCATTGTACCTCACATTGACTTTCTTCTTAAGTATAATAATTGGAAAGTGTCACAAAATTCTGATAGACTGTAGTATGACAAAAACAAGCTTGCCACAAGCCAATGACCTACCACAAGCAATTAATAATCCTGGTTGTACTTCTTAAATCTCACAACTTGACAAATGTAGGCCTCATCATACAGGGTGTGTTTAAAAGAGCAGAGTAAAATTAATCACTTTTTGAATAGTTATTTTGGAATGCATTTTGGGTTTAAACCCCTCTTCAGTTGTTGACAATTCTGTAAAAAAATTGGTCCTGAGTAAAGTCACAAGGAAAACATTTTTCCATGCTCTTCTAAACACACATCTTATGTGATAAGTTTTATATTTGTTGAGTTGTGAGATTTAAGAAGTACAATAATCCCGGTATTTTTAAAGTACCTAAAATACTCACTATTAAATGTATTTAATTAAACTAAAGTGGCAACATAGGCCTACTAGAAGTATCTTTTATAAAATATTTCTTTATCATCACTTTTTTGAGTTTTCTGTTGTTGAATTTTTCTATAGAAACAAAATTTCAATAAAATTCTAGTAGTTCAATATTGTTTTCACTTTATTGTCATGCATTGTTATTTTCAATATCAGGTACTGAAGTACCCATCTCAGGGACTGGTATAAATAGCAATTTATCAACAAAATACATTAATTTAATAAAATATCCAATTTTCTGTTAAATTTGCATTTGTAATGCTATGAAACACCATAGATAAGCAATATTTTTAAATAAAGCAGTAATTTTTCACCAAAGATTATTATTTCATCAATTGTGTATTAACATATTCTACTATAATTTTAACATATTTTGTTGCAATTTTATTTTGTTTCATGTTATTGCTAGTGTTTTTTTACTATGGGCTTAATGTTATTACAGAAAGCTAGTCATAACACTGGTAACATTTGTTAATATTTGTTAAATGGACTTTGTTGGTAACAATAACACTAATTTTCTACAGCAATGAAAAAATTCAAACAATTAAGAATATTGCAATCACAACATAGACCAGGGGTGGACAACATACGGCCCGCGGGCCGGATCTGGCCCGTCTAATGAATTTATGTGGCCCGCGTTTAATCTTTCAATATTAGCTACTCAAGTAGGAATAGCTCAATGAAAAATTCTGATACCTGAAAAAAAAAATTACAAATCTTTTAAGTACAGCGTAAAATGTTGATAAAGCACGATAATGTGAAAAATGTCTGTAATCTCTATGTACAATTTAGTCTCTATGGGATGACACCACAATGAGATCTCGCACCACCTCAAAATCTTCCTAGGACAGACTGGTTCGGCCCATGAAAAAAGTTTTCTTTCCAATTTGGCTTGGGGCAAAAACTGTTGGCCACCCGACATAGACAATTCTGTTAGCTATTACACAGAAAACATCTTAAAATAAAGATCTTTAAATGCAAGATTCAAAGAACATAAATAAGAGAACAGTTTTTTTTTTAAGCTCCGATGGTCCATAAAAAAAAGACAAGTGTAAATAACAAAATGTGGTTACTTTAGGTACAAAATTAGGTACAAATGTAGGTACTTTTTGGCATAATCACCGTGAAGATTCAGGCATTTGTCATATCCATGGACGAGCTTTTCCATCCCTTATCATAGAATGTTGCTGCCAGTGAATTGAGATGGACATAACAATGTTGTTTTGAAGATCATCATTAGTCTCAAATCTCTGCCTTGCTAGCCATGTTTTCAGTTCAGGAAAGAGATGGAAGTATTTACATATTAAAAAGTTCCAAGCTGGGTGGAAGTCTGAAAGGGAAGTCTTCACCACCTTTAAATATCCAGTATATAGCCCTGATTTAACACTGAGCAACTTCTGCCTCTTTCCTGAACAGAAAAAGTGGCTAGGAGGGCAGAGGTTCGAGACTAATGACAATCTTCAAAACAACATTACATAACCTGGTTTGAAGAGATCTGTAAGTGATCTGATATATGTTAGTCTCCTGTTAAACTGTTCATCATATAATGATTACACAATCACAAATACGAAGTAACAAAGGGAAATATGAATACTGCGCTGGCCCACTATGCCACCGATCAGGGGGTTTCCCCCTGTTGGGACGAGGATACCAACACACAGGGTCTTTGACAAATATGACATAAGATCGTTGGAGGCCGTAGAAATCTACAGAGCTGACAAAAATGAAACATGCATCAACACGGATTGCATTCCAATACCACAGGCATGGAAATATTATTTAGACTACCAAAAAATTTACATTTTATTAATAATTTCATTTTAAAAATTTAATTGTAGTAATAACTTCATGTTTAACTACACATTGTAAAATTTGCTCATTTTATATATGATGTAAACTGTATGTATGTCACAGCCATTGTTCAAACATGTTTGAAATTTTAAAAAATTAGAACAGGGCTGTATTCAATCTATAGAATGGTTTTTCGTATTCATTCCTGAAGAAGGCCGATAAAATAGTGGCCAAAAATGTTTGAACGTTAAATATTTGTGTATTTATTTGCTGGAAATGTGTGTTTAGGTGTTATTCTGTTCATCAGAGCTCTAGTAATTTAGATTCATAGTATAATCAAAGATGCATTTGTTTATGCTAAACTGAAAAATTCTAACAGTGTTAAGAGTTTACCTGGCTAATAATGCTAAATTAAGTTTTTGTAATAATTAATATGCAATATCTGCAATAAAAGAGCATTGATCATTAACTGAGAAAATCGATCATAAATTTAGAATTAGATTTTAAATAATTACTACTTTTTATGTATTTCTTAAGATAATTTGTAATAATATTGTTTGGCACAAGCATTATTTTTATATAGTAATTAAACATTTATGCGCTTCATCAATTTTATATACTATTTGATTAAATATCAGATAAAATTACTTTTAAAACTTTTTTCACTTTCTGTAATATTCCAAATTAAAAATATAGAACATTAGCTTATATTCAAATTTTAGCTAAGAATAGAGAGAGATTTCAGAAGTCTAAAAAATACTATAAAATATTTTTATTTTTTCCAAACTATAAAATTATAATTAATAATATTCATTAGTATAAATACTATGTTATCCAGAGTCAGAATTTAATTAAAACTGTTGTTTACAGGCATACATCACTAATATGATGGGTATCCAGACCACTATTGTAAAGAAAATAGTGCCTGAAAGTGAAAGAGAGACTTCTATTTTACTTAAAAAAGTCTAAAAATATATTTACACTATCATTAAGTGCATAACCAGCACTTGATCTAAAAAACTTATGCAAAAGTAAAAATAATAAATAAAAAAAATCCAAAAATACCTTAAAAGCAAAGTAACTGCCAAAAATAATAAACAAGACAATAACTGAAAAGAGCCATATTAGCAAAGTGCCTTAAAATAAGGTATGCCAATATTAATCATAGTCTTAAAAATTATTGATAGATACAGAATTATAAAAATATGTTATTATAATTTTACAAAACTAGAATATATAAATATATATACCAAATGATCTGCCATATTTTTATTGAGAAATATTATGGCTAATTAATATAGCCTGATAAAAATCCAGTAGAACATTTGATATTACTAATGTATCAGATTATGTATGATGTTGTTGTTGTTTATAATGTTCAATTTGCTGAAAGTTATACAATATTCAATCTTTGAAAATTGTATCAAACATAATAATATTTGTACTGTATTTGTTTTATATGAATGTAAGTTGATGTTATCCAGGGTCAGAACAAAAATGTTTCTTATTAATCAACTAAAAATTTGCTTCTGAATAAGCATTCTTAATAAATATTTATATATACAAATTTCTTAAATACATTCATTCATTTAATTCACTTATTCATCTATAACATACTTGAATATAAAATAAGACTTAAGGAAATTGTTTAGTTCCAAATGATATATCAATAATTTATACAATACTACCAAATTTGCCAAACTTTCTAAAACAAACTTATTTAAAAATAAATTCAATCAATAAAAAAACTTTAATAAAACTTACTTGAGGATCATCAATAAAAATCATATCTCCATTTTTTGCTTCAGCATTAATCTAAAATCATTTAAAAAATATTTAATATGGCACTTTAAAATGCAATATTTAAATAATAAAATATTTCATAATTTAATACAATATTTTAAATTTAATCTAAGAATTGAAAAGTACAGTGGTAACTATTTATTTTTGAGCATATTACTGATCAGTTTAATTAATCCATTTTTAACTACTGTAATTTCATACAGATAACCCAATAACCCACAGCAACTTTTACCAGCAACCACACAGAAACTTCTTAGGAATAGAAATAAAACCTTTGCATAACCTGCACCACTAGTCTACTCCATCTCCTGGAGCAGTTGTTGAAAGCACAACAATTACCAGTATGTGATTTAGAAGTTACCATCTCAAACGCTAAAATGTTTTTTCTGTTTTGTTATATTAGCAGTTCATCATAGATATACATATACATATGTATATATGTACATAGATATACATATACATATGTATATCTATGATGAATTTAATTATTTATATACTGTACATATGTATATAAACAAATCCAAATATTCCATAATAATCTAATCATTAAATGCAAGATTATTTGATGTACATTTTGGTTAACTATTAACAATTATATATAATACTTGCTTTATAACAAATTTTAACATCTTATCCATTTATAAAAAAATTTTGGACCATCTATGCTATCTAATTACTATTGTGAAGAACTATCATAACAAAATGTTTCTATTATTCAAAAACAAGCTTATAGCATTTTATATGTTGGTTTATAAACCAATGTTAGCATTGTCAAGTTTCAAGTTTTAAAATACTTTATTAAATACTGAAAATTAAGCAAAATTAGATAAGACACACTTTTGAATGATGCACCGCATATAATTCATTGACATAACATTCCAATACAGGTAACAGAACATATGCATTATAAAGATTGCCAAATGTACAGAATGATCTGAAATCAAAGTCAATAGTAGATGATGATAATTTTATAGTCCTAATTGAGCTATTAACTTGTCAAATCAATTAACTTCACAAAACAAAAAGTATATAAATTGATAATATACATTATTTTTAAAAAAATTTTTTTAAACTTTAAATTTAAATAAACATTGTAGAATGTATTTTTATATATTGTTACAAGTGTAACTTTAATGTAACAATATGTAAAATTAGTTGGGTGAAAAATGTAAATATAATAATGATTATACCAAGGATTTACTAATGGAGTTAATTGATTTGCCTGATCTCTAATTATCCAGTTGCAGATCGGATAGCTGAGGCTATAATCATCTACAATTACAATATAACAATATCCAGAAATTTAAGATTGCTAGATATGGTTATTTGTTGCTAAACTGGCTATTTATGTAAATAATGGCAATTAAATTTAATGAACTGGTAATTCTAAACTTAATGGCAGGCTTGACTATTTACAGATGAAAAACTTATCATCTATTTTAACATCCAAAAACAATGAACAATATAAAAAAAATGAATAAATATAAATAACTATCTTGTCATGTTATCATAATGCAAAAAGACAATTACTTGAATAAAACTTGCATTTATGTACGAGTATTTTTGTTAAGTTCAACTTTATCCTCTTTTATCTTTAGATAAAAAAATCAAACAACACACAAAGCATATACAAAGCAAACAGCTTTACACATAGTTACAACAAAATGGCTTATAAAACCTTTTTTATAAATATAATATTTAACAAAATATTACATTAAATAACAAATTAAAGTTTCATCAAAAGTATTCGTAAATAAAACTGCTTGCTTTGTTTAATTAACTTCTTATTTTTGATATAATGCTATATCATTAAAATAATTACTACTTATATTTAACTGTGTTCAAATTTTTCAATATTTGAGGTGCACTGTGACAATTTCCTGGAGTATTGTTCAAGAAACATGTGGAAATTCCATAAGAATTTCATCAAAAGTGCAACCACTAATCCAGTTTAATGTAAAGTTATCCATACAATGCAGCAAATCATCCAAAATGATAGTTTGGCCAGTTTATTGTTCATTATAGACATTCTCTAGATTTATTCATCATAGATTTAGACATCATAAATTTATCCATAACATCACATATACATTCAGATTTAATGATGGCACATATGGTGCACACTTTTTGCTTTCAGAAAATGAATGATAGACCACACTTCACAAGTGGCAGAATTCTCTATTTTCCTCCACTGGTGTTAATGAAAAGATCTGCATATAATGAGATTTATTAAGATATATAAAAGAAACACAATGCAGGACTGCCCACCCATGTGCTCTAGAGCAGATGCAAACAAGAGTCAAATGTTTTTCTAACACAACACTTGCAAAAGAACTCAGAATGAAGAAGGTAGTAGTTGCCTCCCCATCAGCTCAGACTGTTCAGGTTTGCCAAGACACAAACCAGAAAGAAGCTTAAGAAACACTTTATTTTTGTCACCAGTAATCACTATGTTCATTACATAAGGATCCTAGTTGACCTTGGGTGCGTTTATTAATAGCAGTCGCTCTGTGTCTCCGCTACTACGGGAGTGCGCTGCTGTTTGTAGGCATTTAGGAATGACAGTGAAGGAAAGAAAGATGGTAGCGCCCGCACTATCGATAGTATCGTAATTGAGGAATCTATAATTCTAAAATATGAGCTTTTAAAGGCAAAAGAAGAGTCCCAATTGTAAAATTTAACCATAAAACGGATTATTTGTTGAAAGAGCATTCAAAATAGCCACGAAAAAAATTAGAATGTCGGCTACTATCTGAAAAAAGTTCGAAAAGACACTTACATCACCACGTGCACTAACTTGCACTTTCACAACTTCTAAATTTTTATTCATAAAATCACTTAATGGACCCCGAAATGAAACTATCTGACAAGAAGAGCCTACGGCTTTGGGGTAACGGATTTTGATAATCTTTGGTGTAGAGGTAGTACACGATGTGAGTGTACTACCTGTAAAATACTAAAGTGCAATACTCAAATACAATCGAGAAAATCAAACTTAAAGTTTTGTTAGCACTTTATATATAAATTATACGTACTTCTATTCGAGCGTCCTGTGGCAAAGTGGTAACGAGTCTGATTCNAATTTAACCATAAAACGGATTATTTGTTGAAAGAGCATTCAAAATAGCCACGAAAAAAATTAGAATGTCGGCTACTATCTGAAAAAAGTTCGAAAAGACACTTACATCACCGCGTGCACTAACTTGCACTTTCACAACTTCTAAATTTTTATTCATAAAACCACTTAATGGACCCCGAAATGAAACTATCTGAGTCATGGAGGATGCCATGTTGCTTTCCACCGCAAACTACTGCTACAAGCGGCCATTTTTGCTGTTCAACGGCGCACACTCTGACCGGAATTTAGGAACGTGTTCTGCAGGAATTTTTAAATGGATGTCGCTCGCGTGGAGTTATGCAGAGGAATATAAGAACACACCCCTTCCCTATCAATCTCAACTCATCAAGGCAAGAGATTTGTGTTGTGTGTCCATTAAATTCCTTAGACAAGATGCTTGCAGATTCTGTGCATATTCCAGTCATTGCTAAGAGTAGACTAGTGAATCTTGAGAAATTCCAAAAATATTTGTTGGTGTTGATAAAAACTATAAATTATCTGATAAATATTTTGGGAATTTCACAGGATTCAGTGCAGTCTACAGTTTGCTTCCGATGTTGTCTGATTTCTTCTCTTAAGTGTGATTTATACTGGATGCAGAGAGTACAAAACATAATAAAGCAAAGAAAACTATTGAAGTAAGGTGAGGCTATGTAACCTTGAAAAGCGAGTTGAAAATTTTCATGTCAGCCAATGGAAGTATGTAACAGTTGTGTGTTTGCAAGTGCAAGCCAAAAAAAAAAAGTTTTTATCGGAACTAGATTTCTCAATTCACAGCAGGGAAAAAAGAAATCGGACAAGACAAGATGAAAGAACAACCAAATTTATTTTAGAAATTGAGAAAATTCCTATTTTGCATAACATGACACTAGAGAAGTACAGGCTTCAAAAATCAAAGAGAAGCTTGGAGAGTTCAAGATTCCATGAAATTGCTGCAAGTGCTAAAATCCTCCTTCTTTGCTTTAATTGCATCCAATAATTAAAAAGATCCATATTGAAAATAATACTGGTATATAATTCATTTTCAATAAACCTACACAACACAGTAAACAAAAAGAAGAGAGTTGGCAAGTGCAGTATGTACTGAATTTTTTAAAATGCCATCTATTGGTAAAAGTGCAAAACTACAACTCGACTATGCTTACCACCACTTGCAGTGTAAACAAAATTCACTTTGCCTTCCTTGTTTGCTGTGATAACTCTCTTTGCTTTTGCACCTTCCAGTCCAGTATAAATCACACTTTATTTTTCTGATCATCTTATCACTCCTCACAGAAGCAGATCTCCAGTGTGGGAATCATCTTCAATTGATTCCTAGACATCTTTAAAACTGCTTTATGCCACTTCTGAAATTGTGCTTCATACACAGTTTCCTCACCACACATTTCATGGAATATGTTGTAAGCTTCTTATAGAAGCTTTCAACATACTCCATGAAGGTTTTGTGTAAAATGTTATACAACATTGACTATCCAAAAAATCAATTAATAAAAATTGATTTCAGAGTACCAATTCCAGAAATCATGAAGTTTTTACATAATAATGATTGCTGACAATTTTCTATAGACCCACTATTGAGCTACCTCATTATTTTGTTAATTTTACTGTAATATATTTTTTTATTTTGAATAAAGTTTCATTGCTATGTTATAGATTGCAAGGAAAGATTTGTGTTTATTTTTAGTAAATTGGACTATTTTTTCATTATTTCTAATCATTCTTATGTATTAAATTCTATGCCTTAATTTTATTTTTACTTTGCATTATAATGAAGTTTTCTTCAAATTGTAGAGGCAAACATCTGGTTGTCTTCTTTTCATTCCTTCCTACTTACAAGAAGACAATTAGACGTTTGCCTCTACAATTTGAAAACATTTCTAAACACAAACAGTTC